TACCAAAAGCGGGTCTCCAAAACCAGAAAAATTTTAAAGGGGGGGGGCTTAAACCCCCAGAATTCCCAGACGGGGAACTGGGGTGGGGAATTCTGGGAGTTGAAGTCCATCCATCTTAAAGTTGCTGAGGTTGAGGAACCCTGATCTAAAGGACATGACATAAGGAAAAAAGGATAAGGAGGTAAAGGGGGGTGGGGTGGGGAAGCAAGCTCAGAGATTGGTTTTTAAATAGCAGTGCTTATAAAATAACCAGTTGGATACAGTTCAAGGAGAGGAGAACCCTGGTGCAGTGGTCTTTCAGAAGGATTAGTGACCTGCCTTCGTTTTGTATCTTCCTTTTCTGTAAATGAATGAAATAGCTCCTACATGAATGCTTATCCAGAGAGGTACAACTGGAACATTTTCTATCCTCTTTCAAAATTAGTAAATTTTTTACCACATATACTTTGATGGATTATAATTACAGTGGCCATATTTTCTTGGAAAAAATAAAGGACAAATCTGAAAAAGGGGCAAATCGGAAAGAAGTTCATAAGGATAAAAAATTGAACTGTTTATGTTTATAACTTTGCTTTACGAAGGAAGTTCAAGAGTAAAACCAAGAAAAACTTTACAAAAACACATATTCTAATAAAACTCTCTAAAATCAAACAGCATATGTAAATTTATTTTAAAAAGACAATTCAATTTCCATATTTTTCACATGAACATGAAAGATTGTGCATTAAGTAGTACCATTTGTATGGTAAAAGTTAAGTGTCCAAAGTAAAGGACAAAAGTGAGTTTTTGAAAAATAAATAAAACTAAAGGACAGCTTTCCAAAATAAGGGCTGCCCTTTATAGTAAAGGACATAGTCACTGTAATTATAGTCCATAAAATCAATATAAAATATATTCAACAAATGCAACTATTCAGTTATGGGTTTTTGCAGAGGGGGACAAGGGGGAGGGACAAAGGATGACATATACAGCATGCAAATACTGTGACTTATGTACCTAACGGATGATACCACTGTTAGGAGGAGGAGCATTATGCCCCCAAGATACCTAGGCAATGCTGACTGGGAAAAGAATTATATCCTGCAGTTTTTGTCCTAGGCTGGGTTTTCTGACATTTATCCAAGCAAGTCCAGAAGGAATAATGTTTCAGCAGCTCACATTACACAAAACCATGGTTTGCTTAAAAAATGATTGCTTGAAGTACCTGTTGTGACCTGCTTCACACATACGGTTAAGCTAAAATTATTACTTATAAACCACAATCCTAGTACCTACTTACACATCCTAGTAAGTTTGCTCTCGATAGATATACCTGTTATATCTGGATTCAAAGGTGACATGTGTTGTGATGCTGCATTTTCTTCATGCATCCTCTTTTTATCCATGTAAGCAGCCATAAAATTTCTCTGTAAAACAATTCAGAATGCAATGTTCTGTTTCTTTAATTTCAGTTGAAGGAAGAAGTAACCATCTTATTCATATATCTGACAATAAAAGGTGTTCCTGAATTAACTACATGTTAAATTATAATGTGTGAATTTGGTTAATCCACAGATTACATGCATCAAATTTGAAAGTCCTACTATAAAAGTGAAAGTAATAGGGGGAAATTAAAAGCTGTTAGAATAACCACAATGGGGAGAAAATTGCTGTATGTTTTTCTATCAGTTTTCTAATGGTTTAACCATCATCACTTTCTCCAGAACACCCTGGCAACTTCAGTTAAATGAGAATGATACATATTTTCCGTTGGACATTTAAAATGTACTTTCACTAACAGTTCCCTGCAGGAGCAGTTTCCCTTTCAGGAAGGATCCCACCTTTATTCATTTACAGAAAATCATGTACCGCCCAGAGTCCCTCCTTGTGGGGGAGTTGGGCAGTGATATAAATTTGACATACCAAACAATCAATCAATCAATCAATCAATCAATCAATCAATAAATGTACAAAAAAAAAACTTAATTGCTCA